GGAGACCATAACTCTCTGCTCCTTCAGCGTGGGGGGCAGTGACCTCCTTCCAGAGAAGGCGGAGGGGAGCAACTTCACAGTGGAGACGCTAAAAACACTTTCCTCCTCTCTCTCAACTAAAGCCCAGTTTACTCGGATTTCCTTAGTTTTCTCCTGATGTCGTTATGTCCCAGGATACAAATCATATTTAGTATTTCTTTAAGCTCCTGTTGACTGCGGCAATTCCTCACTTACACCTGTCTTGATGATTTTGCAGCTTGCAGGTGTACTGGTTACATACTCCGCAGGAAGTCCCTCTATTTTGGACTTTCCTCATGATAAGATCCTGGGTTTATATGTTATTGGGAAGGAAGGCCACAGAGGTAAAGTGCCACACTTATCACACCGAATCGGGTACATGCTGTCACTGTGACTTGTCACTGCAGATGCTGGCCTTGACCACCTGGCTGAGCAATCTCTGTGCTTGTACTGAGACCAGTAATATTTTACTGGACCCAAAAAGGCTTTATACCCTTAGTAAAGTTTAGGGGAGGAAATCATCTTTTTATGCTTTCCAAGTTTTTATTTATGACAGTGCATGTATATAACTTTAAAATAACTATACATGTAAGGTACATGCTGTTCTAATCAGAAAGAGCCACTGATCTCCGTATTTTAATTTCAACCAGACCTGGGCAAACATGGCCAGAGAACTCCCAAAGATTCCTCAATTAAGTCATGCCCCCACCATTTCTAGAAAAATTTTAAAATTATGTCTCCTGTCCCATTCTCTGCATACCAGGGTTCCTCCGCAGTGGGGATGCTCGACGGAAGTGCCCACAGAGGACAGCCACGACGTCCCTTTTCATAGCAGGTAACCAGGCAAGATGCCATCCTCATTTTAAAAGGACTTTACCCTTAGTTCCAGAAAAGAGAACCTGCTGCACAGACCACAGACTTTGGCTCTGGGCTGAACAGCATGGGACTTTGTGGCCATATTATAGCTGTAAAATGAGAGGACAGTTCCTCCCACCCATTTTGTCTGCATCCATCACTTCCTAACACAAGACGGTAGAGCGGACCCCTGGACCTCTCCAAATCTTAGAGGACTCATCGCATCCCAACCTGGGCCTCCTAAAATATCAGTGTCAGGGAAACTGAAACCAGAGGTTACCAGGACGCCGGGGCAGGCTCATTTTTCCCCTCGAGCAGACGGGGAGGTAGGAGGACCTCGTACCAGGCAGCAGAGCTGCCACACCTGAGGCTGACGGCAGGCGGGCAGGGCCACATTCCACAGGCTCCAGCTGAGTCACCGAGGCAGAAACCGGGAGGTAAGTTTAAGTTTCTCTTAGCACCTGAGAGGGACCAGTGTGGGGCTGGTCTAGGGCCAGGCCTTCTGGCCAGTTCCCGACTTACATAATTTCCATAGCATTTTCTTTCCAAAAAAAAAAACACAAAAAAAAAAACACAAAAAAACCCCACCTGGTTTCCTACCATATCTACAGACCTATCAATCCAGGGTGCAGGCAGGCAGTGAGCCTAGTTGCCATGACATTCAACCCTAACCCCAAATGCCTCTGTACTGACCCCATTAGGATAATTAATGTGTAAAGAGAAGTCGCTGTAAGTGCACCAGCCCCAGACCTCTCCAACGTCCATCATCAACAGGAGTGCCGGTGACGGATCAAAGTCCCACCAATTGACCAGTGGACAGGTCCTGGTTGGCCCTCACCAGCCTGTAAGATGACTGACACACGTCCCGAACAAGGGGCCGACTGTGACAGCTGGGGCTGGCTCTGTGCCCCACCCCTACCACTGACTAGGAAAGCCTCCGCTTTCTGGGCAGGGAGAAGCCTGTGCTATAAAGGTTAGAACAGTTAGATGAGACGCTGCCTGAAGGCCGCTAGCAGGTGGCGGGCACCGAAATAAGGGAAGCTGGCCTGTGGGGCCTGGAATGATGAGTGCTGGGTCCATGCTTCCCTGCTGATCTTACACGTAGGGATCTGCACTCTAGCAGAAACTGGATTCAAACATTTTTTTAAGTTTCATCTTTTCCATGAGCTTCCTGGCAGCAACTTGAGCAGCCGGTGCAGGAGGGAGAGGCAGATGAGGAAATGCTGGAGGCTGCAGAGCACCGGCTTGCTCAACTGGTTCGTCCCAAGGTACTTCCTGCAGAGGCTCTTAAAAGGCACACTCCCTGTTCCAGCATCCTAGGGAAGCTGCCTCATATGTGTGCACACAGGTGCATTTACACATGCACGTATCTGCAGTGTTAACTGCACCACATATGTAAACTGGCATCAGCCCCTGATTTTACTCTTACACATATCGCTGGACATTTTAAAGACACATCACGGTCAACACCTCCCCCAGGTACAAAGTGCTGAAAGCAGTTGTCAGGGAAACAAAGCTCCTCTACTGAGAACACACTGCCTCCTAATGGCAGGTTATTTAAGAAACTCGGAAATGGAAATGCTGAATGTCAACTGTCATTGAAAAATGAAAAAAAAAAAACAAACAAACTCAGATATGGAGGCTGCAAACATTTCTCTGAAAATTCAGCCACAAGCCCTACTCATTATTTCCAATATCAAGAAAAGTCTCATATTAATAAATTTTGTTGGACAAAACTCTTGGCTGACTTTCCCCCTTATTTTATTTTTTAAAGCAAATTTGTACTTTGTTCTTAAGTTTGATCAAAAAAATAGCCACTACGCATTTACAGGAAACCAATAGCTCAAAAGGAAACAAGGAATTTAGAGAAGGAAAGAAATCTTCAAAAATTCTAAAGTTTAGCTCTGGTCCATATGGTTCAGTGGTTAGAGCATCAGCTGCCACACAGAAGGGACGTGGGTCCGATTTCCGGTCAAGAGCATGCACCTGGGTTGCAGGTTCAACCCCTGGCCCTGGTCGGGGCTCATGTGGGAGGCAACCAATTGATGTCTCTCTCTCTCTCCCCTTTCCATTCTCTCCAAAAAGCAATGGAAAAAACATCCTTGGGTGGGAACATAAACTCAGATGGATTTGTCATCATAAAAAGAAGGAATGTTAAAAGAAATAGTAAAAGGAAGCAGCTTTTAAGAAATTTTAAAATATGATGACAAAACTTACTAGAAATGCTGGAAGACAAAGGCAAAGCAATCATTCAGATTATAGAGCAAAACTAAAGAAAAAGCAGTCATCAGGGAAGTTCACGGTCTAACCAACTAGAATTTCAGAAACTATATAAAATACAGTGGAGGAAAGCAGTAAGAAATAATGAAAGAATGCTTCTCTGAGCTCTGGCCGGTATGGCTCAGTCGGTTGGGTGTTGTCCTGTACCCCGAGAGGTTCCCAGTTCAATTCTTGCTCAGGGTGTGGGCTCGATCCCCGGTAGGGGGGCAGCCAATGTTTCACTCACATCACATCGACATTTCTTTCTCCCCCACACCTCTCCCTTCCTCTCTCTCTAAAAATCAATTAAAAAATCTTAAAAAGAATATTTCTCTGAGACTCTTTTATAAAAGACACCTGCCTTTAGTTGAAATTGCTTTCCCTGTTATTGTCATGGAATTCAAACTCGAGAGTCCAACGCGTGTGACTAGACCAGTCCCCGCCTCTGCCAGCAGCTGGGAACCCTGCAGGGAAGGAAGGTGCCCACTGTCCTGGAGGCAGGAGGGTGAAAACCATCACCACAGAGCAACGCCGGGCCAATTAAACAAGGAGTCTTGGTGGAAGTTAAAGTATTTATTGATGTGTTTAAACTGTACATTCTCCACAGATCAGATTAAGGAGTCTGTAGGTGAAGTTTATCTGTGCATAGTGGAAAGAGACATGGAAAAGGGAGGAAAGAAAAAAAAACAAAAACAAAAAAACAGTCACGGGGAAATAGAAAAAAAATACACCACAGGTTACCAGAACCTTCAGAATAAAAAAAGAGAAAGCTGTGAGCATCAACATCAACTATACAAGCATTACAGAGACTCGCGTGAAGGGAACGGAACCCTCACCACCTTGCATGGTGTCTGCAGGCCCTCTCAACAGCCTCCTTCCACACAGAGCAAACCTCCACGGTCTCCCGGGCCACCGCCACCTGCGGCTGTCGTCTTCCGAGAGAACACCACCAAGCTGGTGACGGGAGGAGAGGGGGAAGCCAAGGTACAGCGGGAGGGACGGGGTCAGTGCCTTCAGAGGGAAATGTCCAAGGAGGTAAAGACAGCACATTCGGACATTACTTGGGAGGGAGTGAGCTGTAAAAAGCTATGGTAAGTAAACGGTGGACAGTGAAGGTCATGTACAAACTACAGGCTACTATCCGTGGAAGAACTGGATTTTGAAGGAAAGCAGTAGTGGACGCCCTATTCTGTATACAGTAGGCTCGCTAAAAGATGCTGGAACGCAAATGCTTTTAACCACCTTGGTGACAGGACTTGTGTGGAGACACCAAGGAACCCAGCAGTGGGAACACCAGACTCCCAAGAAACTGGTCCTATAAAATAATTTTGAGAGGGGATCAGATGTGCTTCAATGGTCTTACAGTTCCCTATTTCACTTAGTTTCTCAGCAACTTCCTGAAGCTCATTTAAAAAGGAAATACTGCCTTTATAAAACATAAGAGTCAGGACAGTGAATGCGCCTTAGTTGATTTATACAATGCAACCGGGACAAACGACCTGCATACAGTCTGTCATTGCAAATCAACATTTCCATGTCTACGGAGAGCATGTGTGAGACAATACAATAGAAGTGGGATGCCTGATTAATTTAAAAAAGAAAACTACATCAGTCAAATATCTGCAATAGATCATTTTCTCATTTCATTTAAGGTTTATATATCATATATTGTTATATTAACATTTTTTCACCCATTTAAAAGAATGGAAATTGTGATCCTACAGTAGTACTTTATAGTCTTAATGATCCAAGAGGTCTGAATGTAAGATGCAATCCTCTGGAAGTATCTGTTGGTCAGCAGTCGATTCAACTCACTGGACCTTCTGGCCCACCTGCACCCCCCTCCAATGGGGGGGACATGCACCTTCTCCCACTTAAACCTGCATCTGCTCAAGATACTTGTAGGTCGGGTTTTCATAACCATGGTTCTGCATCTTGTTCAGGTGACGCTCTTCGGGGGTGAGCATTGGGTCGACCTGGAGGAACAAAGATTGTGGATCACTGCAGGGCAGCTAGGAGAACACACGGGCTTCAGAAGACCTGGGACCCAAACCAGCCAGCATCCCATTCCCACTGGGTGAACCAAGAGAGGTGAGGACACAGGAAGACGAGAGAGAACAGAGGAGGGTCCAAGAGGCAATGCTCCTGAAAGCTGGAGTCCTAAAAGCTTAGTCCAAGCTGGAGAACACGGTGAACTCAGTTTCCCAGCTCCACAGTAACAAGCAGGTCTCAGTTCTGCTACCTACCACCTGGGACAGCCTCGGTGAGCAACCCTGTAAAACAGGGACCGAGGCCGGACGACCTGCAGGGTCATTTCCAGCTTGAAATTCTAACAGCAGAACCCTGAGCAACAGGAGACGAAGCCCAATGACTAAGACACGCATCTGAAGTAACCTCCCGGAGCATGCCACGTTCTTTCTGTACTCATTTTCTAGAGCCAAGAGACTGGGCATTTCCACCATCCAGCAAAAACGAGCGGCCAGCAGTTCCAGTTACTACCAGCAGAAGATGAAAGTCTGCTCTGGCTTCTACACTTCCTGGTGCCTTTTCCCCATTAAGAAAGGAGAATATTAGTCCTAGCTCATATTTTTAAGGCTTAGTTCACTCATGACTGCCACTGTTTCCCGATCTGTCCCAGACCTGGTTTGTTCCTTATAAAACAACGACAACAAAGAAGAGTGTAACAAACAGTCCTTCACTCTCAAATACCTGACACACCTGAAAAAAAAAGACACAAGGACAGAACCGGGAGAGCGGATTCCACCCTCTGCTACCTAATTGCTTTTATGACTTTCTCACATTCACAGCCACAGCCCAAATTCATGTTAAAAGTCGGCAATAGCCCTCTGTGACAGAATCAACATCATTCAGTTGGGGCTGACTTCCAAAACGTGGCCTCATAGCCCCGCGAGGGATTTAGCTGATGCGCAGGAACTCAGGATAGACGTTTGAATCCATAAAGCTCCCGACGGCAGAGAAGCAGCCCGGCCAGCCCGGGCCCCCTGGGAAGGACGCCCGGCTACTCACTTCCACGATGCCGTGGCTAATGGTGCCATACTGCCTCTTCCTCAGCATCACCAGGCTGATGACAATGACGGTGGCAATGGCCACGGCAATGACCAACAGGCCGATGAGGGCGCTGCTGCTCAGGCTGAAGTCCTCTCGCAGCGGCCCCACAGATTCCTAAGACGACAAGGGGACGTGCAATCAAGCCCAGTGACCATGTGCAGGGTGCGAAAGGCAGCGACCGAGAGACGGGCCACTCGATCGGGGCCGTGCTCCTGCAGTCCTGTCTCTACAGCCCGAGGCGGCTCCCAGACACACCCAGCTTTCCCCACATGGGACAAGTCCCACTTTTTCCAGTCTCCACGGAGATTAACCCGGCATTAGTTTCTGGAGCCAAACACATACCGGCTCTTCCTCAAGGCCTCCAACTCTCTCAGAATTGAAAATCATTTCCTTCACATCCAGAGTCTCGTCAATGACCTGAAACAGTATGACAAGGTCAGTAACTGGGTGGAAGGGAAATTTAGTATAAATGTAACTTCATTATGTTTGGTGGAGGGAAGCAGATACCGGATGGACACCCACCACCCATCAGTTCTGTCGCCTTCATCTAAATCCACGCACCAGCCCCCAGGAAGGAGCGAGTGCGGATGCAAGATCGCCGAGAAGCAGTGGGTCCTTGAAGGGCCTCCACTGCATTTCCCCTTAGGGAAGACTCAGGACAGACATCAGGAAGCCAAGCTGAAATATCAGACTCAGTTAAGAATAACCCAGAAAGAGAGTGACAGAGAAGGCTAGAGCAACGGACAGGAGGCTGGGTCTCTCCTCGCCTGAAACTGGCCTCTGGCATTTCACGCATCTCCTCAGTTGCACACGGACTTGCCCACGCACAGCAAGGAAAGAGCTACTGCTGGGAAGTAACCCTCCCTTCCGGGCTGCACCCGGGCGCTGAACCGCACCCCGCAGCCCGCCTGCGGAGAAGCACACGCCGGGGTCGCCCCTCAACCACGCCACTCGCGCGCATTACTGGCAACGTGAACAAGCAGCAGGGAGACGGCTCACCATGTTTTCATCCGCTTTATTCTTGCTGTTGATCACCTTCTCCTCGGCGCCGATCAGCCCTCCGTCCTGCTCGCCCAGCCCCGAGCCTGCGGAGAGAGCGCAGCTGAGCTCCCGGGACAGCCGACCTCGCGCCCTCCGGGGGGCCGAGGCCCCGAGGCAGGGCCCCCACTGGGCGCCTCCCCGCAGCTCAATGCGCTGCCCGGTTCCCACGCGTGAGGAAGCACGGCGCTCAGGACGGATGAAACAGGGCTTTTCAGAGGGCTGATGGCAATGGAAAATGAGGGGGGGAGAGCGCTCACGTGTGCCCGGCTCGGGAAGATGGGGCGCAAGCCTTCAGGAGAGTGTGTGTCATAAGAGAACAGAACCAGAGTCCAGTCCCAGCCTGGCACCCATGGGATGCCCGAGGGGACACCACCGAGCACCTTCTCTGGCAGCTGGGTTCCCCTCCAATGAACAACTGTCAGACCTTGAGCCTCACATTTTATCCCACAGGCTACTCTTCCTGCCTGAAATAACCTCCCTGACCTTAAACCCTTCCTAGTTGTCCTTCAAGCTACAGCTCCTCTTGGGAGACACCCCAGGTGACCGCACTTCAAACCACTGTCTGTGATTACTGATTTTCCCGTGTTTCCCACTGGGCTGTAACCCCCAGGGCCTAGATCATGACGGTCACATCCTCGATGGTTCCTGGAGAATGAACAGGAAGGAAGCATTCCATAAAAAGGCAGGATCCTAACTCCAGGGAGGAAGGTACCTTTCTATAAAGGGAGAGAAAATAGCACCATTCCTCCTGTCAAGGTCAGACGTGGCCTGAGCCAACGTCACTTGCACGCGGCTCTCCAAGCAGCCGTATCCAAAAAGCAGCATGACCAAGGCCAGAGTAAGCCCAGCACAAGAAAAGTGAGGAGCAAGCCTCTTTATTTTTAGCTCCAGAGCATGTGATTTCCAGCCACCCTAACATTGTCTCATTAATAATAATCCATACGCTTCTATCCAGACGTCTATAATTTGAGCCTTTATAAACAGATCAACCTGGCAGGATACTTGGCATTCGAAGTGACCACCTGCCAATGAGTAACATTCAAACACAAGTTTATGCAAAGCGCTGTTGTCCCAGGCTCACCGAAGGCAGGCGAGGACACCGGGCCAGCCACAGCGACGCTTCCAGCTCCTGCCAGACCTGCTCTGTCACAGCAACGCGTCACAGCCGCTGCAGCTGCCGACCCTGCAGACCAGCTGACGCAGGAGCTCGTGAGAACAGCCAACAGCGACGCAAGTTTTTTCTAAGGCTTTTATTTTAAAGAATAATTTCACAGTTTGGTTCTAGGGTAAGTTAAACCAGGGCTGGCCTTTGTTGTCTTAAAAAAGCACTTCCACTACCTGAGAGAGGAACGGTGCTGGCCCAGCAAGGATGCCCACGCTTGGGCCTAACCCACTGCAACTCAGCTCTTCTACCACTTTTCCCTAGGATCTCCTCAAAACTCTAAAGGTCAGAGGGCAGGACCCTATGGGCAGAATAACACGGCACTGGATCTGCTACTAAGCCAGACTGTTCTAATACTTTTTTGGTGATATAACCCACGTGTTTCTTACACACTAACCAAAACCACTGATTTTATAAAACACATAAACAAGCGGCTGTAAGAGACCAAAAGTTAATGTTTAAATTGTCCCAACTAGTAACAGTTGAGGTGTGAAGGCAAAAGCCAGGCAACCTTCTAAAAAATTCATCTTTGATTACTGAACATCTTAGGCTTGATCTCTAAACCTCTTCAGACGGCTGTTCAGAGCAATGCTAGCACAGTGATGCAGAGCTATGTCCCAGCAGAATAAAATGAAGCACTAACACGGGAGCGATTTTTAGCTTTACACCCTACCTGTGTCCCGAGGATAAGCCGCGGCACATCCACCACCTGGCCCAGCTGCAGCCTGTCTGCAAAGCCCAGAGCGGGCTCACAGCACACACACTAAGAACACCTCTGACCTGACTCCTGGTGACTGCAGACTGTGGACTACCCTGCAACCTGGGGAAATTCAGCAACCGACACAGGCACTGTATGCAACAGAAACAACCTGGGCTTTGCAGACAGAGGAGCTGGGTTCAAATGCTGGTTTCTCCGCCTTTTAAGCTCATTACTTTGAGCAAGTCCTGTCATCTCTAAGGCTTCTTCAACCACTTGATCTATAAAAGAAGCTAAAAATCCCACCTGCAGTGCTTACATAATGTTACCTTTTCCTGAAAACTGGACACACTACAGCAAGAGTCCCCTAGTCTCCACCTGTTTCATCCATCAGCTTCTAATATGTTTTGATTGATGCTATAACTCAGGGGACATGAGACAACTGAAGCAGACAGATGGCAAAGACAAAGGGCAAGGAACCGCTAAAAGGGGGACAGATTAAGTGGGAGCAGCAGAGAAAAAAAGAAGAAATTAAAAAAAATTTTTAAAAGACTCTCCACCTGACCGAAATTAAACCTATTTGTTTTCACACTAGCAACTCACAACCAACCTAATTGGACATATTTATCAAAGTCTACCCGGATTAAAGGACTTATGAAAAATCTCTGGTTACTCTGGTGTTCTTTGGACATCCGGAGGGAAAGCTCAGGACGGCCACCTGGTGACCAAGGTCACTGACACTGGACTAGATGCTGGAGACAGAACTGCTCTGGCTCCACACACAGCCACGTCTGAGAAATGAGGTGGGAAAAGGCGGTGATGTTATGAAATAGAACGAGAGACTTCGGACACATTGGGGAAGTGACAGGAATGGTCTTAAGGGAACATCTCTGACAAACCAACCTTTTTTCATTGGGTGGTACAACTCCGGCTGGGTGTCTAGCAGAAAGGAAAACAATAAAAACAAAATAGCACAAAAGGAGATTAAGAAGGAAAATGGCTTCTTTCAAATTTCCTATTTTAGAATTCCTCTATAATACGAACAAAACGGCTTCCTTAGAAACTTGGCCTGCAATGTCCCATAAACAAAGCAGCAGCAAGGGCAGGAAGGTAGGCGAGGAAAAGTAGGTCTGTCTTGGGTCTTTTGGGGAGTTTTGTGAGACTCCCAAATTATTCAGCTAGGCCAACAAAGTTCCTTTTCTTAGAAAATAACAGAATCAGACATTGGCACTGACTGTGGTTTTCTGAAAAGGAGACAAGGTCCTAGTTCAGATATGTCCAAATGCCTCCACCCAGAAGGGGCCGTGTGCCTGGCGCCCGGGCAGCCGCCCCGGAGGCCTGGGGTTTGAAGGGCAGGTTTTAGGGAGGGAGCGGCGCCTCTTTACCCAGCTCTTTCTCAGGTTCTGTTATGTTACTGGAGGCTCAACTGAGTTAGCAGCTCCAGGATTACGAGTTTAGAAGGCGATCAAGGCCTGAAGGCGAAGCTGGAGGCTCCCTCCTCCCCCACTGGAGGGGCCTCTGCCTAGCACCCCGTCTGGTCAGAGGCCTGCTGGACGCAATCAGCTCGGGTTCACATCCTTACTCTCCACCTATGAGCTACATGACCCTGGGCAGACCCTTAACCTCTTTAAACCTTGGAACCCCCAAATGGGGGAACTCCAGTAGAGAGTTATTCTGAGGGTTAACTGAGAGCACCCACGGACTAACTTAGCTAAAGCTGGCATCCGATGAGGACTCCATCGCCATGGCCTCTATTTTTATAGCCACACCATCAGCAGCAACGGTAGCAGACAATAAACAGAATCTGGTTCCACACCCTGGTCTCGGGGCACCGCTCACTCAGCAGCTTGTTTGCTGCTGGTGCAAACCCAGCTTCCAGAGATCCCCTCAGACAGCAAGAACCAGCAAGGGGACAGAAGACAGCAAGCCTGGTATTATGCCTCCTAATACCCCGGCAAGTTGCCATCTTTGTAGCCTCCCCATTACCTGACTCCCAAGACTATTAGGAAAATATAAGAACCAAATTTAACAGCAAAGGGCTCTATAAACAGTAAAAAGACTTCCACATGTAAGGTTTTACACATACTGGAGGGAGCTGATAGGCCCAGGAAAAACTGTGATCTTTAAGCAGACCATGTATATATGATGTGAGAAATGTGACTAACCTCATGTTGATAACTGAAACCAACTACCTGGAAGCTCCCACTACGGTGCCTGCACATAGCTGGTGCTCAATGAAATCGAGTGTCCCTTGCCCTGCCCGAATTGCACTAGGAATGTGGTCTCCCCAACACAATCCAGGTTCAAAAATCTGACTTCAATCTTCTGACTGCAGTCTTCCCCCCTCTTGCCCCCAGCCCCACAACCCGGGAGTGGCACTGCCAGTCATACGCACCTTCACTCTCAGGTAAGGACGGGAAGGGATGGAAGGGGTGGAATGGCGGGATCTCATCGCTTTCTTCAGAGCTCACCCGGACGTCCACGGGGGTCTCTGAGATCGAGGCTGTGAACTGGTCCATGTCTGCACGCTGTTCCTGAAGCAGCTCGTCTGACAAAGACAGACAAGGCAGGGAACCAGGTTTTCAGAAGGATCTGGATCTAGGCTCCAGGCACAGGAACAACAGTCTGAACAGAACTAATTCATGTCATTACAGCATGGGAGACCTGCCGAGAGGAGCGTCTCACCACTCACAACACAGCCAGCAATCACCTGAAACACCTTCTGAATCTGTGGCACCGCAGGACCCAGCACCAAGAGCCCCAGGCTCCACCCTGGGCACCCTTCTTCTCTATCAAGTCACTCCGTTTAAGCAATTTCATCTAAGGCACAGTTTTAAACACCACCCACATATCGTGACTCCCAAATCTGTTCTTACCTAGCGCCCGAGCTCTGGCTCATCAAGCTAATGGCCAACCTTACACCCCCACTCCACGTCCAACAGCAACTTCTATTTAAAATGTGTAAAGACAACACTTTGCCTCAGTAAAACCTGGCACCCTGTACCCCCATCTGCTCACAATGAAGACCTGGGCATTCTCCCTGATGCTTCTCTCTCCCCCCGCCCCCCCATCCAACCCACAGCGCATCCTGTTCACACCACCTGAGCAGTATCCCGAGGACCACCCACACCTATCCCCTCCATCGCCGCCCTGGTGCACACAACCACCAGCTCTCTCCTGGACTTTAACCATCGCTTCCTGGTGGTCTCCAACTTTAATCAACTCTCCATGGAGCACCCAAGTAATTTTTTTAAAAAATCATATTCTTTTTAAAAGCATACTCCAGATCTAATCACTCACTACTTCAAAAGCCTCTAATGGCTTTCTATTATCCTGGAATGAAATCCAAACCCCTTGATTTGCTAAAATCTCTTAGCAAAAACTGGCCTCTACCTACCTCTTTGGCCCTGTTTCTCCTGATGTTCTGGCCTCCCTGATCTACTCAAATGTGCCTGCAGCTTGATTTAAACTCCGAAGCCTCTGCAGGAAGCATTCCTGTGATAACTTTGTTCTCTCCCTGCGGTCTCAGGTCACTGTCCCCGAGATAGCCTCGCCGACCACCCAGCCACTCTTCACCACCCTACCCTAGTTTAACTTCCTCCACAGCTCTCCCCACCATCCGATACTTGTTTTCCCGTCCATTTCTCTATGATAACAAGAGCTCCAGGAGATACTGTGTGCTTGTGCACTGTTTTACACCGTGACACAGAGCAGACATAATAAACATTGGTTGAATAACTGGAGAAGACAGAAACCAGAAGGAGAGGAAGTGAGAACATATGTAAAACAAGTGCCTTGAAATACATCAGCAATCAAGGGGGAAAGGGTAACAGGAGACCTCCCTCAGTCCCTTGCAATTTTACACCCTGGATTTTTCTTCCGGTAACAGAGTGAAGGGCAATGAAACTCAAGGCTCAGTGGCTCATGGCCAAGTACTTGACCCTGACACGTGAAATCCAGACCTCTGAAACCACAGGGTGCTAATGCCCAGCTTCACAGCCCTCACCCCTGAGTCTCAGCTGGAATCCCACCTGAATTTGATACAAATACAGTCAGCACCCACCAATTTCCTCTTGGATTTCCTGGGCTACATAAGGTACTTTGTAGAGCAGAGAGAGGCTTTGGTTCCTTCTTTCTTCAATCACGTGGAGATGTGTCATCACCTGGAAGCACAGTATGGTGAGAGGCCCTGTCATCAACACAGCCGGGCCAGGAGGGACAGCCACACACACTTCCGCAAGGCAACTGAAAAGATACTCTCTACAGTGTCCAGCAAGGCAGCTGGTCAGGGGGAATGTATTCATCCCCACACCACATTTACTGACCACTGAAGTAAAGAATGTGCTCAGGCTGTGCGATATCCCTCCGTGATCTGAGACTTTACCCAGAGTCCTCCGAGTTAAAGAAAATTTAAGAATTCTCCCTAACCAGCTGTTGACTTGACTTTCATATGAGGAACTTGCTAACTGTACAGAATGAATTAAAAAGAACCCTAGGTTGCACAGTGCCAGGTACTCAATAAGGTTTTTCTAAGTAAAAACGGGAAAGAGCTGGCCAATTTTCACACCGGTCAGATTGGATGAGATAAAAAGAAGATGAAGTCTCTGGCTAAAAAGTAGATTTGGGGAGAGGGGACCATTCATAGACTTTGCTTAGTAAAGTAACTGCTTAAAATGGTTATCATGGTCATAACTAGTTTACTCCTATTTAACTAAATTAGCTATTCTTTCAAAAATTAACACTAAGGCATACACAAACCTGATTTTTTAAAAAATGTGTTTGTTTTATTTAACTGATTTCAGAGAGAGGAAGGGAGAGGGAGAAAGAGACAGAAACATCAATGACGAGGGAAAGTCACTGATCAGCTGCCTCCTGCACAGGGCACCTCCTACTGGGGATCAAGCCCAAAACCCGGGCACGTGCCCTGGCTGGGAACTGAAGCCTGACCTCTAGGCGCATGGGTTGACGTTCAACCACTGAGCTACACCAACGGAGCTACAAACTTGATTTTAAGGGGTGTTAAATAAGACCACCCGTCTTCCAGAGCTCACTATCCTATCTGCCACCCATCTTCCAGAGCTCACTATCCTTTCTGAATGCAAAATTGCCAAAGTTGTTTGCTTTTTTAAAAAAGCCATTAAAACTGGTCACTTACTTTTAAAGCTTTTCAGGGGTGGGAAAGAAAGGTGATGCGGGCTAACCGCCACCCCAATGACACAGTGAGTGAGGCACGCTGTAGCTCACACAAGCAAGCTTTTCGAGGTGGTTCCTGCTTGGCTACATGTGCAGTCATCAGCTCTTCCTCAAGAGGGCGAGCTAAACCAATGGATTAATTGTGTGGGACTGACTCCATTAACATAAGAGGTCAAAATGGAAGGGGGGGTTAAATGGAAAGATGCTTTTATTGTAGATTGATATCTTTCTAACTTTTAAAAGCGAGGATGAAGCAATTTAATTTTATATCTGCCACTCTTTCAAATCAAGTAAACTGATCGGAAAGCTCAAGAGTGATGCCTCAGTGAAAAAATGCAAATAGAGAGGGAAACATGGCCCACGCACATAGCACGTGTTGGCATTGTTATACTTCTTCAGATGAATTAAGGAGCCATTTGAGAGAGGAAGGTCCATACACCGCACGAGAACAGGAACCACAGGTGGAGTGCTGGACATCAGTATCTGTATATACAGCGAACCTTCGAGCTGCAGCGTGAGTGGTAAAAGCACCACGTCACTCACACCCAAACCAAATCTGCAGGTTGTAATAGGCTGAATACATACAGGGCTCTCTAGAGTTTGGGTAACAGAGTAGGAGCCAGTCGCGTTTGGAGCAGAGAGTAAATATCACACAGGAGAGCTGGGTTTTTGCTGAGATTTTCTTAGGAGAGTTCCTGTGTGGCTGGGTGTAGCACTTTGGTCTTGCCTGCAGGTAACTCATTCCCCAGTTACTGATCTAATATACTGATCAGGCCTCTCCTCCTACTCTCATCACACAGAACAGGCCATTTTCTCTGTAAAATCCTACACAATAGTTCAGTTCTTCCACACACAAAAAATTTAAAAATGCTTAAAAAAAAAAAAAAATCGAGTAAACCTACAAAAGTCAACCCTGAGGATGCAGGTGTCGTTCCCCTACACTTCCTGGAAGCCACCCTGAGGGGCTCCTGGCCTTTCCCCCTCCATCCAGCTTGAAGAAAAGCACTGAGCTCTGGGCCAAACCAGAGGCCCATGTGGTCCCCAGCTGGCCCCTTTTGTTCTTTCCACCCTTAGGGGCCCGAGCTCTTTCATTACCCCAAACATCCAACTGCTAAAGTGCAACTATGTTTGAGGGCATTACTCTCCGTCTGTGAGGACGAAGTAATTAATTCTGTGCGGGACCGTGAGCTGCTCAAGGGCACACGGGGATCCGCTCTAGTGTCAGATGCGAGGGCAGTCTGGCAGGCGGACAGGAAGCGCAAATGTCTGCTCACGAATGGAGCAGTAACCTCGCTGCAGTATCCCTGGGCCTGCTGGGCAGATTACCCTCCACTCATAACACACACACCACAGGCTGGAAGGGGGAGTTTTTGGGGTGACGGGCAAGTACCCGCACTTGTGCCTCCCACACAGTGGGTGCCCACAGTCAGCACTGCACTGTGTTTATAATATGAGAGGAAATAAAAAGTAAGGTCAGATGCCATTCCAGGGCCCTCTAGAAAAACTAACAGGCTGAAGAAAGAAAAGACTCAAAAACAAAGAAACAAACAAAAAAACCCAATGGGCTGAACTATTAGACTTTGTGACTTATAAGGCACTAGCAGTCTGTAGGCAAGTTCATTTTCCATGAATCTGAGAGTAAAACTCAACTTACTATATGGACAACATCGAAACTAGAAAGAGGGTCCAGAAACAAACTTACAGACGACTGTTAAGAAAAGCCAGACCCAGCGTGGGACAAAACCTGGACACATAACGATGTCTGTCTAAACAAAAACAATATACAAAAGGAACCGATTTTTTAAGATCTGCTCGATATATTTGCCTAGAAAATAATTCCAAATATTAATTCTAGTGGTACCTAAATCAGAAATGAACTAATACGACCTATCTATTCAACATAATCATGCATTCCTAAACTTTCAGAAACTGACTTAATATAAAAAAGCATGGCCCTGGCCGGTGTGGCTCAGTTGGCTGGGTGTTGTCCTGTGCGCAACAGGAGGTCACTGGTTCATTTCCCAGTCAGGGCACAGGCCTGGGTTTCGGGCTCGATCCCTGGTAGGGGGCATGCAGGAGGCAGCCGATCAATGTTGCACTGTCACACTGATGTTTCTCTCTCCTTCATTCTCTAAAAATCAATAAACTATTCTTTAAAAAAAAAAAAAGTATGGAAAAGATATCTTTAAATTAGTACCTTTACAAAAACTCTGTACCTAATGTCTTTGGAAATGAAAAATCATTTTCTAAGGGCTGGTATCAAGCACAACTGTCAGTCACGGCGGCCTCTCCCCACCAGAACCCTCTCTAGAGCATTTCCACTCCGCCTGGCGTACCTGGGACTTCATCTGGGCCGCCTTTTCCGGGTCCACAGCCAACACATGCTGGTAATGACGGATGGTATGCAGGCGGTCTTTGTTCTCAGCACGGACATAACGCCGCAAGGCCTGGAGAATGCGATGAGGCTGCAAGAGAGAACGGTTGCTTTAAAATCCAGAAACGAGGGAATTGAAAATTGACAGAAAAAGGCGGCTTTAAAAATTCCCGTAAGAATGTAAAGCTCAGTGAGGCACGAGAATGAAATCTGTACTTTCAAAAGCTTTTACAAACTACCTTTCTAAGTACCAAAACCTAGGTTCCAAAGCTGTACTGGCTCCTTAACAAACAGTATTTTCCCTGATTTCTAGCCCACTGTCCTCCTACAATGGGTACTCTTTTGCTGGCTCAGCCTCCAAACACCCTAATTACGAACCAGGCAAACCCTGTGTCACCCAGAAACGACTTTGCCTGCTTACCTAAGAAGGATACGAATACCCTCCTCTCCAGTACTTTCCATCCCCCAGAGCAAGACAGGTTAGACAGAGTTAAGGGATAAAGTTGGAGATTACTAGCACAGAAGGGCTTCTATATAAATTACCTCTTTCTTCACAATTCTATTTAAAATAGAACTGGTTCAACGCCTTTGTCCATGGAAGGCATGTTTCTATTCTTTGAAAGTAAGGCTATTACCAAAATTCGGTAACTGGATAACCACCAACCAACCTCCTGAGGCTGTGCTTCCTTTGGGCCGGACACTCGGGTGCCGCAGGTGGCGCCCACAGGCACAGAGCAACGCTGAGCCGATGGGAGCACATACGACAGGCTAACACCCTTCCTCCCTCCTCCTGGCTCACTTCCGGCCTTGCCAGAACTTGTCACGAACATGTAATTTTACGGACCTGTGTGTCACGTTGGCTCCACACAAACACTACTTCAGGGCAGGCCACACCGAGGACGCGCTTCACCAGGGACCTGCTGTGCCCACGACTCACCCGCGGCGGGTCCGACTGCAAGGCGGCCAGGTAGTTCTCCAAGGCCATGCGGCGGCGGTCGTTCAGCATGGCTTCCACTCGAGCCAGGTGGGTTTCCACCAGCTGCTGCTTCTCGCTGGCTGCTTCTTTCTCTAAAGCTTTCACCATAGTTTGGAAGTGCTAAGCCCAGGAAGCAGAAAACACGTAACTCATGGCGCCTGGACACATCTAGGCAAACAACCTCAGGGCCCAGCCTGCCCAGGGCCTGTGCGAGCCGGCCGCGGGCTCAGAGCGGAGCAGGGTTAAGATCTAAGTCCCGTGGACAGTAAGTCCTCACTTCTCACTGACAGCTTCTGTGACTTCAAGTGAAACGACAAACGAAACCAATTTTACCACAGGCTAACTGATATAAACCAGGGTTAAGTGGCTACGGCACCTCGTCAACACCACGCCAACGATGGTCAATGAAACGGCGTGAATCCAGGACCTGCCGTACGCCACCTGATCTATTAGGGTAATTAGTCCCTTGTCCAGTGACCGCATGGTAAAGCAAGTGTCAGAGGACGCCTCAGCGATGCCCGGGCATTACTGGTTTCCCCTCGTGCGCTGCCAGGGAAGAAACAGACTCCCCACACTGTGGGCAGGGCCCACTTACTGCCCCTGAAGCCACAGCCCACAGGAGCTGCAGCCTGAAACACGTCCCAGTCTTGCTGTCATTCCCAGCGAAGCCCGAAGGCCGGCTGTTGGCTGTGCGGCACCCGGCCACGTCTGAAGGTACAGCTGAAGGCTGTTGGGCTAACTGCCCTGCACTGGGTGCACTGGCTGTGCAAATGAACACGCTGGGACCTTCCAGGCGTTCTGAGACAGGGTTATCACGAGCAGAGATTTCTGCTAAACATAAACACCAACTGACTTAAAAAATGCTGAAAAGTTTCACGAGACCCAAGTCTGCCCTGTAGATTGCTATCCCCACTCCTGTCAACACTCTTCCACTCGAGAACGCAGCTGCTCTGATTCTAAGGTTACAGTCCTACAAACTTAGAGGTGAACTGGTATCACAGAGCTTCCTTCTCTGCCTTTTGGCTTTTCAGTAAGTCCATAAAAAAAAGAATTCAGTGCTGCTGAAAAACAAGTCACAGCCTAAGAATGAAGATGACCGAGGACTTCTGCCAGGAAAGCAGAATTAACAAACACAGCGAGCTAAGGTTACTTCCTGGCACGAATTAGGTGTGCTCTGGCGGGGGATTTGTTTTCCTTCTGCCAGAGGTGAGCTATTCTAGAGAACACCAGTTGGGAGATTAAAAAACACAGCAGGCCAGTTAAAACTCCCCTGTAACGTAAGCTCTCAACTAAAAAGAGGAGTCCAGCTCCAGCTTCCTGGGAGTGGCTCCGACCACGTCGGAGGGTCGGGCTGGAAAGCTCTGCCCCTGGGGATGATCTTACCTGGATCAGAGTCTGCCTCTCTGCTTTAGGCAGGTTCTTTGCTTGAAGCTCGGCCTCTTCCCATTCTTTCTTCACCTAGAAGCGAAGTCAAAGCGCTCGAACCAGAGCGTAATCTCTGAAACAGTTCCCCATTTTCTAAAAATACTGCCAGACCTCAACCTCACGCAGGAAACCGTACAAAAGGAAATCGCATGTACGATCCCTCGTGAGCTCAGCTTGTGCACAGAACTACTGCTGCAGAGGGCCGAGGCCTCAAGGACCCCCAAAGAGTCTAAATTCCACGACCTCCGGGTCTCCTTGTTCTGCAACCTTGGGCAAGTTATTTAAAAGTCTATGTACCTCAGTCTCACCAAAAAAAAAAGGGAAGGGCAGGAGGTGGTTAATACTATTTCTCAGAAACGATACGGATACAACAGTAATGAGCGTTTCTCCCAAAGTATAAACCATCCCCGGTGGTGTGAGATTTCAGGCGGTAACTCAGACCTAGAAAGGAATCCCTCTGATTTTCTTCCAGTCCCTCCAAGTCTAGGAGGACGCTGCTTATGGTGCTCGTTACTCTAACACAACCGCTTTGAGGAAACGAAAACATCCCTGAGACTCAGAGCCTTCAACAGGCAACGGTATCCAGCTAGGACCTGGCTTTCATTTAATACATTTTCACACTTACCTTCCTCTAATGGCAAATGATACTATTGACAATTGTGACATCAAGCTTCCTGCTTTAAAATATTTTTTTAAGCTAGTTAATGGCAAAATCATAATGACAATAATAGTAGTAACGAGCACACAGCAGCGGAAGGGCTCGCCGTCGCGTGTGGAACACAAGCACGCCGGGGAATTACGTTCCCGCGGAGCCACAGGATGGGGAAGGACTGGTCACACCCAGAGGGTCCCCTTGTGCTCTCACACCTCACCTGTCCTAGGTGACATGTTAGTTAGTGTGACAACCTAGGGAGATGGTGTCCCTTTTCTTCACCTATGACAGCCAGGTCACCCAATGCCAAAGGTCAGAGGGTAAGGGGTGCTGAGCTTACCCTATCCATCCGGTTGCGGTGCCGAATTTCCAGCTGCTCCTTCGCCTTTTGGAAGCGGGCGTGTTCGTTGTCATCTGCAGAGGTCTCGAAATACACGTCGACGTCATTGGTTGGCAGAGGAGTTGGGGGAACTGAAACAAAACAACAGGGGGAGTTCACTTTGGGGGGAGACCCCGCGTTGAAGCCGCACTGTGCTCCGGGACCGCGGAGTGGGCTAGTGGGCCTTGTACCACGCTCCACGCGCAGGCTGCTCCTGGCCGCTAAGACCCGGCTCTGCCCGGCTGCGCTGGCCCCGCCTTACCCCATATTCACCCACCAGGCCCGTCCAGGTGCCCCGGGGACCGCGGCACCAGCCAGGCACTCACTGAGGACGTCAGGGGCAGAAAAGGACGTCGCCTCTTCTAACTGTCCCTCAGTTCTTGAAATCTTAAAACCTAAGGAATAACTCCCTCCTGCTGTCACTGATCACACCTGACCGGCGTCGAGGGCTGAAATCAGACCAGCAGAAGTGCTCTGAGAATTCCACAAATTCTCTATTTTGAAAGGAACTTCAGTACTCTGGGCTCCTTTCTTCTTGCTATTTTTAGATTAGAACCTAGTTTGGGGAACAAATTCAACTGGATGTTCTTTGCCTACAGACTGAGGGAGTCCAACTGCCCTCCAGCTACAGACTTTCCGTTTTCAGTAGAACTGAAGGACTCAGCCCCACCCCCAATAACAGATGACAGAGATGAAACCAACTTGCTATATGTGACAGGACAAAGTTGCTACAATGGACAAGGATTTGCCAGCGTGAAGACACCTTGGGCTTTTCAATCCATGACATCTATGGGCCTTAACAAGCCACCACCCAGAGAACAGATCCACTGGGACAACCACTCTTCCCTGCCAGTCAAGCAGATTCGCAGTGGCCCGGGCGAGGCGGGATCTGCACAATGGGGCTTAATCTCATAGAGGAAAGGACTGAGATGACAGGTTACTTAGTCAACCTCTCAAGAAACACCTACGGAAACTTGTTCACCCAATTCCCCCAAGATTTCCCGAGCCAGGGAGGACTGACACAGGACCGACATGCAACTTGCTGGCGCAACGTGCTGTGTCACGACAATGCTAGAGCACAGTGAGTAGTAAATGTGCCCAAATTCAACAAATTTTAATTCAGAAACAAATCCACCTAACTTTCAGAATTGCACAGGTTCAGCAGAACCTTCAAACAAAGGTATAAATAACAAATGTAACTACAAATGTAACAGCCACTCCAAAGTTTCCCATCAGAGCATCTTGTAGTTCCCTCATTTTAGTTACTAAACCTAAAAGCTACAACTAAAATCTTCTGAAGAGTATCTGGCTCCCACATACATTTAAAGAGTCTCAACAGCCAATTTTCAAATGAACTAAATTAGGATATATAGCTTCACAAGCCACATTCCCCATGATACTCCAAAGTTCAGCTGGAGAATTTCAAAGCACTGACATCCATCCGCGCCACTGAGCACCTCGCCACCAGCACCGCAGGCCTGCAGCTCAAAGGCTTATGGTTAGAGACAGAGTCTTGGGTTCACATCACTGGGCCGGATAAAGATAATACCAAACACGAGCTGCCTCCACCCTCTGGAAACAAAAAGGGAAAGGGGCGGCAGGCCTAGAGGTTCGGTTCTGAAGACAGGCTGGGCTCACACCTGGAACCACATCCCTCTATCCATGTGAAAACAACTGGCTCCTTCGCCCATCTCAACCCCCGCTGACGGACACAAGCTTGACCACTGGAACAGATGCTTCTGGGCTTTCCGAGCACTCCAGCTGGGGGCCAAAAGTACCTGCACACATGCAGCTCCTCGGCAAGCCTCCCCTACCACCGTCCTGCGGACTGTTAACGCTCTGAAGAACTGCCGCTCCGTCGCGTCTGAGGCACTACCTCTCTGATCCTTTGGGAAAAGATCACCAGCTGCGTGTTCAGTAAGATCTCATCCGATCCCCGATTCCTCAGGCTTCAACCCAAAACAATGTCTTGCTGTCTCTCAGTTATAAAAAGCAGAAAATATCAATTTCTACCTCTGTATTTTTCCTGAATAAAAGTTCCTGCCAAAGTTCCCTAAGGATTCATATTTTTTTCACCTTTTCAATCACATCAAAAACAGCCTTTCCACAGCGCAGCGGCTGGAGTGGAAGCGCTAGAGTATACCACGTTATATTAAGAGTTTAGAAACCTTTTGGTCGGGGGAGGAAAGAGGGACCATGAAGGTATCTCAATGAAAACCATCGGAAGCTACAGCCAAATAGCAGGAACAGGCGGCAACTCATCACTCTAATGAATTCCAGATCGGGAGCCTGGCCCGAGGATTTTCCAAACGCACGGGTCAGTGCCGCAAAGAGAAGGAGGGTCTGAAAAAAGGAAGTGGGGTAACCATGGAGAAAAGCAAACCTTCCTACCTCAGCGAACCCAACTCAACCGAACCACTGAGTTTCCTTGTGTCCAAAGGACACGTAAACTGAAATTCCTTCACTATCCCAATCTCTGCACGACCCGGGGCGCCCAACACCGGAGAAAACGGTTACTGCCACCTGGCTGCGAGGCTCTCCTCCTGGAGCACAAAAGCAAGGCGTTTCAATATTCTGGACTCCCGAAAGTATCCCATTACCACTGCTGTGGACAGCGGGCACCACGGGGTCACACGCAAGGACAAGAGGCAAAGCCTGGAGAGGATCACGTGCAGGACTCGGGCCGACCTGCTTGCCCTTTTGAGCCTTTCAACCAGAGACAACCAGGACGTGGCTGCCTTCCAAGCCGAGGCCAAGACCAAGCGCCCCGGGAGCCCGCACACTAACGGACGGGCGAGCCAGGCCTGGGCGCCCCCGCAGCACCAGGGAGGCCACACACCAGCACCAGCACCACCACCACACCCACAGTGAGCACAGGACACGCAGAACTGAGCTTACAGCTGCCCACAGGAAAGCAAGCCCAGGGCCAGAAAGCACAGGACGGGGGAGGAACGACCGACAGCAACCCCCGAGGGGGCAGGGGCACCACACAGACGCCGGGAAGGACAAACGCTGGACAGGACGTCTGCTGCACAGAGCCCGCGTGGCGCACTTACTCATGGTTTTACACACAGCCATACAATAATCCTCAGACTCAAAATTGTTCCTGTTGCCTCCGCAGCCGCCATATATAAAGCGCACGCACTTTCCCTTGGCGAGGTCGAAGTACCACCGGGGCATCACGGCCCGGCAGGGCCCCGTCATCGCGTCCTGGGAGCAGACAGCTGTGTGGAAACGGTCAGAGTGTCAGCAGGACAGAGGGGGCAGCTTCAGACCGCGGGGCTGGGCCGGGCAGGAGGAAGGCCCGGGGGACACGGCACCAGCGGAGGCCGGGGCTGGACAGACCCCGAGCGCCCGGCTCACGCCAGTCGTTTCTGACGCAGTCATTTTCCACTCGAAGGCAATACGGACATTTCGGAGCTGAGAATACCTTGTGCTGACTGAGTCTAGATCGAGGCACAGGCTGGCGGGGAGGACTCCGTGTCACAGCTCTGGGAGCCCACCCGGCCGACCCGCCGGTGGAGACACCTGCCTGGCCCGTCTCCCTTGGCGGGTCACGGCCGTGGGAAAATGCGGGAGAACCAGAGCTGATGCTGCTTGTGCATCCAGGAAGGATGAACTCACGCTTTCCTGTTCTCCAGGCGAATCATCAATTTCTAGATTCATTTAGTAATTTCCCCCTAGTTGTTCCTAAATAATTCTTCAGATCTTAACTGGTTTCAAATAGACAGTGAGCAGGAGGTTGTGTGGAAATCGCTCTAGAACTGTCACAACCCGTTTTTTTTAACTGGCAAGGTGAAAACCCGCTGGCCCCACTCCCTTACCAGGACGGCCGCTGAATTCGACCCTCCCAGTTACAAACGTCTTTCCAATGGATAAACGGGGCAGCCTGCAGGCTGGAACCCACTCAAAAGAGAGCCAAGGCAGTCGTTTCCATTGCACAAGGTCAGGGCTTCAGCAGTATTGGGGGGGCGGGGGGCTCCCCTTCGGGAGAGAACACTTCAGGCTGAAGGTGGGAGAACCCTGCCCGAGGGTGGGCCCCGCTGTCTCTTGCTCTCTGGTTGTGTCCTTGCAATGCTAAGCATCACTTTCTGACTCGATTCTGCACCTCTCCCTGGACGTGGCACCTGGCAGGCCCTGCAGAAGCCGAGCTGCTGCTGAGCTGGCACCACCAGCACTGAGGAGCTGGCTCCCCTTCGGTAACTCACCTGAGACGAATGCAGTACAAGACTCTAAGTAGGAAAGTCCCACACGGGTGTCAGTGCCGCCGCCCGGCATCGGTTACCTTTAACGTCGTGGGTAATTCCCTTTTCTGACACGGCCCCGTCGCGGCGGGGTTCTGCCGGGCTCTCTTGGTCGTAGTCCTGTCCCCTAAAGGTGTCGTAGTAGTAGTCACGGTCCTCCACCGCCTCCTGGCCGTCATCCTCGCCGTCCCCACCCACAGCGGCTTCTGTGAAGTCCTCCAGATCGGCCTCGGTCGGGAATTCACTGAAGTTGCGACGGGAGAGGGAGGTTAGCCCCCATCCCTGCTCTGAAACAAGCTCAGCCTGCACTGCCCTCGGCCCAGCTACAGCAGCGGGAGGGAAGGGCCGCGGACAGGGGCCATCGGGCCGCGGACAGGGGCCACCAGCCCCCGCGACCGGCCGCAGCTAGAATGACACGCTAGTGGCTTGGCCCAGCCGAGCGAGGCCAGGCCCGCGCCCCCCGCAGCCCACAGGCCTGGAAAACCGCCCGCAGGTTCGGGACGGGGCGCACCTTTTGTAAACGTCGTAGTCTTCCTCCTCTTCCTCTTCCTCCTCCTCCTCCTCTCCCTCCTCTCCCTCCTCCTCCTCGGACACCGCGGGCTCACGGGCCTTGGTCTGGGGGCAGCACACGTACTCGGTGCCGTGGAACTGGTCCACGCCGCAGGGCAGCAACATGCCGTAGCTGTACAGGGCCGTCCCCTGCGCCAGGCAGGCCTGGAAGAGGCCGGGGCGGGTCAGGGAGCCCCGGGTCTCGGAGACACGGGTTTTCCCTCAAGAAGCTGTGGTGTTATTGCTTTAAGAAGATTTACAAGTTTTGCTTAACTTGCAATGGGGAAATATCTGGGCCCCAAACAATGAAAGCCCACAGCTGGAGAAAGGAGGGAGAGGGAGCTTCTTTTAGTAATTATCAGCATCGGGCGGAGGCGGTGCGGGGTCATTTACAGCGTCCCTGGCACGGGAGGGCCCTGCTTCAGGATCTGACCGAAGAAAAACAAGCGACCGGAGCACCAACTTAACTGCAGAGGGTAAGAAATGACATCCAACCCTGTCGGCATCTCTGACCAGACAGATTCTCCATCACTGGCAAGGTCTACCCTAAGGCCTCAGGGCTTAAGGGGCCTTCCTGGGAGCCCTGCTGACAGCATCCCTGCCTACCAACCTTTTTTAATATCCTAAACTTTAGGGTCTGCATTGTCAATACCGAACTTCCTACAAAAATACCAATTCTTCTCCCAAATTATTTTTAATTTAGAAGATACAAGTAGCTGCTAACTTTGGAGGGAGAGAGGGAAAGTAAGGAAAACTGATTTTAAATTTATCTTCACTGATTTCAGAGAGAGGAAGGGAGAGGGAGAGAGAGATAGAAACATCAATGAGATAGTCATTGATCGGCCGCCTCCTGCATGCCCCCGACCCAGGCACATGCCCTGACCGGGAATCGAACCTCCGTCTCCTGGATCCTGGGTCAATGCTCAACCGCTGAGCCATGCCCGGCCGGGCAGGAGAACTGATTTTAACTTGTGGTGAGGTTGGAGGAACCTGCCCCCCCCATTTCCCAGCATCCTTTACCTCCGTGACCACCGTGTGCCAGTGCTGGTGATTCTCACACACGTCCATCCGCTCTTTGTGGAAAAACTGGCACTTTTCCGGGACCAGCAGAACGTCGCTCACAAACTCACCCACTGGGAAAGAGAAGCTTTGTCAAAAACAAATCTGATGACAATTCAAGGTGGGAGCCACCCTCACCGCAGATTGTCACAGTTACAGTCAGGTGTAGACAGGTGAGGCATGTCTCATCTTCAAAGGCCAACTGACCGTTACAGCTCCAAGCAGCAGCCACAAGAGCTCAACGTTCCGTGATAGTGATTAAGCCCAGGACTGTCCTCCTTTCCCAGACGCCAACCCCTCACAGTCCTGCTGCAGGCTACACAACACATCACAAGAGAGCAGGAATAGGGCCCCCTCCATGACCGCAGACACACACACACACACACACACAGGTTCTGCCCCCCGGCTTCCACATAAACAAGATTCCTGGCCACTTACTTCCCTATTTCTGCCCATATCAGTTGTCAAAATGCCCAGGAAACTAAGACTGGGTGTTCTCCTAAAGTACAGATACATCTTACGTTAGTCCCTTGTGTACCTAAAGACACCCAGCTCTAAGACCAGCCACCACTGTGATAACTGATTCACGTAAGAATCATCAATGGACAGCTAATTATAAAGAGGGAACGGGGGCCTTGGCAAGGGAAAACTCTAACAGACACTACTTAACCAGGTGACCAACGGGTGGTTTAACATCACCAACCCATGAAGAGCGGCTCATGAATTAATGATCGATACACACCTGGGCAACAGGGACGGGAGGGTAAAGGGCACTGCTTTCTCTGTGTCTAGATGTATTTGTAACTTCCATAACAAAAAGCTAAAAGCTTATACATATACATCGCCGGATTATCACCCAGAAATTCTGATCAGTCCGTCTAAGGTGGGCTGCGGTGCTTTGCTTTGAACAAGCACCCCAGGCGATCCTGACGCACCACCGAGGCTCCCACAGGGTCTATGCGGACGCAAACCGAGGAGGGAGAGGTGTGTGCTTAGCTCAGGGGGAGATGCAAGCAGCGGGGGAGGACGCAGGCAGGCGACCCGCTGAGGTCTAAAACAGAGAAGTGCAGTAAGGAAGTACCCTGGCCCGAGAAAGCTACCGGGCTCTGCACTCGTGGGGTCTCTGCAGACCCACGCCCCACCTTCGTCATCTCACCCCGTCTCTAGGCACCAGGGGGCCAGCCTTCCCAAGTGGCAGGCAAAGGTGGTTTAGCTCTAGAGAGAGGCAGGAATGGAAGGATGGGACTTTGGAACACCTAAACCCTTTATTAAAAAAATAAGACGGAACCCTGGCCACTGCAGCTCAGCCGGCGGGAACACCGTCCCGCATGCTGAGAGGTCGCAGGTTCCATTCCCGGTCAGGGCACCTGCCTAGGTGGCGGGTTTGGCCCCAGCTGGGGGGTGTAGAGAGGCAACCAACTGGTGTTCCTCTTTCACACTGATGTTCCTCTCTCTCTCTCTCTCCCTTCCTCTCTCTGAAATCAGGAAGCATGATCTGGGGTAATGATTAAATAAAAAACGATGGAGGTGTAGCAAACACAGCAAAATGCTGAGTCTGGATGGTGAGTCCACGAGAGACCACGCTATGTTTTATCTTTTCAGGATGCATGAAACATTTTGGAATTAAGGTTGAAAACCAAAACTTTTTTAAATGCCAGAAATTTAATAATTAACTCCATACTTAACTGTAAAATAAAATTTCACTAACTTTATTAATTTATTTAAAAATTTTTTCTATTCTAGTTTATGTTTAATATTATTTGTTATTAGTTTCAGGTGTCCGGCACAGCGGTTAGACAATCATATACTTTATTTTTTTATTTTTTAATTTTTTAAAAATATATCTTTATTGATTTCAGAGAGAGGAAAGGCGAGGGAGAGAGAGAGAAAGAGAGAAACATCAATGATGAGAGAGTCATTGATCGGCTGCAGCCCGCAACCCGGGCATGTGCCCTGACCGGGAATCGAACCCCGATCGCCTGGATCCTAGGTCGATGCTTAACCGCTGAGCCACGCCCGGCCAGGCCATGTACTTTATAAAGTGGTTTCCCCCGTAGTTCAAGCACCACCGGGCGCCACACGCAGTTATCACAGTATTACTGACTATTCCCCAGGCTGTGCTTCACATCTCTGCTACTATTTTTGTAACTGCCACTTTGTACTTCTTACCCCTTCCCCTTCGCACTACCCCCACCCCCTCGGGCAGACATCAGTTTGACCACTGTCTCCNTTTTGTAACTGCCACTTTGTACTTCTTACCCCTTCCCCTTCTCACTACCCCCACCCCCTCGGGCAGACATCAGTCTGACCACTGTCTCTATGAGTCTGTTTCTATTTTATTCATTTACTTTGCTCTTTAAATTCCACAGAAGTGAAATAATGTGGTATCTGCCTTTCTCTGACTGACTCACTTCACTTAGCATTACGCCCTCTAGGCCCATCCATGCTGTCAGAGGGTGAGATTTCACTCCTTTTCGTGGCCGCGTCATATTCCACTGTATACATGAACCGCAACTTTTTTACCCACTTGTCTATTGACAGGCATCCGGGCTGCTCCCAAATCTTGGCTATTGTAAATGACACTGCAGTGAACAGAGGAATGCATATATCCTTTCAATTTAGTGTTTTGGGTTTCTTTGACTACACCCAGAAGTGGAATCGCTGGGTCATTGGGCAGCTCCATTTTTAAGTTTTTGAGGAACCTCCACACTGTTTTCCACAGTGGTGGCACCAGTCTGCATTCCCACCAGCAGTGCTTGAGGGTTTTTCTCCACACCCTCGCCAACACTTGTTTGTTGACTTATTGATGACAGTCATTCTGACATATGGGAGATAATATCTCATTGTGGTTTTAATTTGCATCTCTCTGATTAGTGACTTTGGGCATCTTTTCTTATGTCTCTTGTCCACCTGCATGTCCTCTTTGGGGAAGTGCCTATTCAAGTCCTCTGCCCATTTTTTAATTGGATTGTTTAGGGTTTTCTGGTGTTGAGTTGTATGAGTTCTTTATAAATGTCGGCTATTAACCCCTTATGGGATGTGTCACTGGCGAATATCTTCTCCCGTTCAGTAGGTTGTCTTTTCGTTTCACTGACAGTTTCCTTTGCGGTGCAAAAACTTTTTAGTCTGATGTAGTCCCCATCTGTTTATTTTTTTATTTTGTTTCCCTTTGAGATTTTGCTGCCTATGTTTTCTTCTAGGAGTTTTATGGTTTTGAGTCTAACATTTAAGTCTTTAACCCATTTTGAGTTTATTCTTGTATATGGTGTAAGAAGGTGATCTACTTTCACTTTTTTGCATGTATCTGTCCAATTTTCCCAACACCATTTATTGAACAGACTGTCTTTACCCCACTGTAGGTTCTTGCTTCCTTTGTCAAATATTAATTGACCATAAAGACATGGATTTATTTCTGGGCTTTCTAGTCTCTTGATCTGTCTGGTTTTATGCCAGTGCCATGCTGTTTTGATTACTATAGCTTTGTATACACCTCATATCCCTAATCCCTCCTCCTTCAGCCTGGTTAAGTCCTGAAGTTTGCCTTTTACTCAAAGATGTATGTATCATCCCTAAGAGAGAAGCACATAATAGATGTTCAATAAATGTCTACTTAAAAAGTAAAACAATAAAGCTTTCTCAAAGTTGCTGAAATTCCTTTCAAAATAACAATAAGGCTATTTACCCACTGGAGAAGCTCCCAACACCAACCAATACTCACATTATTATAAATAAACCCACTGCAAAGGTACTCTCCAGCTGCAAATAGTAAGACTATTTATGGAACACTCTGAAGCTGTAAGCAAATGGGAGAAATCCTTTTGTAATGAGAGTAAACCAAGAAAATCAACCTGACCACCCAATGCAACTTTTTGTGAGGTCTCGTTGCCCTCCCTAGAAGATGTCTTTGAGGTAAATAAGGCTCTGAGACGTTCAAGACCTAGAATAATTGTCATGAGCAGAAACATACACCACGCAGAAGCGTTCACACTGGGAAGAAGGTGAACTGTTGATGAGCTGTCACAAATTCAAAGGCAGAAGGTGACTTGCAAACAGACACCTGCAATGGACGAGTGGGCCACTCCAAGATACCGTGGTGCAGTTGCTGAAGACTGCATCTCGACGCTTGGTTATGCAAACCTCCTGTGGCAGTCGTCCTCACATCACAGTATCACTCTCTGTTCTGATCTCCTTCCAAAATAACCAAACACAAAACCTGTCCTGGGCTTGTGACGCTCTCTTCTTTTAGCAACAGAGCCAGTCTACACATGAACGTCAAAGATGACCGACTGCTCCCCACAAATACCAGCAGTCTTGCTTCGACACACACCACTGGCTGTGTCCTACTCGGGTCTTGCTATTTATTCAGATAAAGTTTTAGAGATAAGCAGGAGGCAATCAGTAGTAATGGGAAATATAATGTTCATTTTGAGGAGCCTGAACTGTATTTCTCACCAAATATACTAAATATCAGTTAAAAGAATCACACTGATGGGTAATTATACACGTTCTCAGAAGAGAACAGAGCTGAATGACGGGGACACAGATGTCTACAGACAGCGTGGCATCAGATCTGATGCAAACATCGCTAGCAACCTAAATTCATTCTCAAACTGCTTTCAGGCATCCAAATCAAGACACATCCTTCCCCTCAACCTCACAAAAACAAAAAAAAACAGTGCCTGAGTACATAGATAAGGCTCCTGGAACATCCAAACCCATTAATAGAGGTACCCAACCAATATAAGCATGTCCTATTTCCCCCAGCTCCCCACCCTTCTGGCTTGTCTTTGATTTGGGTTTGCTAGGTAGCAATATTTAAAAGGGGTTTCAGAGCTGAAGCTAACCACACTACCATCTCTTCACAGCAACATGTAGTATTTACCTTAATACGTATAAAAGGACCAGTACAGTTTGTATGTTAAAAGAACTGAGTATGGCTACATTAACTCAGTGAATATACTATAAACTATTAAACTACGGGTGATTTTACATAGTATGTGAATTACATCTCAACGAACCTACACTTAAAAAGCAGAGAGACTGTTANAGCAACATGTAGTATTTACCTTAATACGTATAAAAGGACCAGTACAGTTTGTATGTTAAAAGAACTGAGTATGGCTACATTAACTCAGTGAATATACTATAAACTATTAAACTACGGGTGATTTTACATAGTATGTGAATTACATCTCAACGAACCTACACTTAAAAAGCAGGGAGACTTTTATAGGGGATATTGAGAAAATTTAAAAAGTATACTGAAGATAATGGAATTGTAGGTATCAATATGAGCTCACTGTTTTTAATACATGCACATATATATACAAAATAGATTTGTGTGTGCATGTAATGTACACATACCTATTTCTTAGCTCTTTCTCCTGAGTGGGCCTAGAAGCAGTAACACTGTCATAGCCGTAAGCACACCGAGTGCCCAGGCCTTGGGGTCTAAATATTCTTTCCCACTAAATGAAACCAGGGCTTCTTGGAGAAATGGCTGAGTCCAGGGGTGGGGCAGGGAAAATACAGGAGGGGCCTAGATCTTTTTGTACCAGAAAGTAAGGAAGCTTTCAAAGAACGACAGGGACATGGTAAAAGACACAGGAACCAGCACGAAGGGGCTCCCACTGGCCAAATCCGACAGCGAGTCCATAATGAAATAAATGAGTGCTGACACCATCTTAGCCAGGCGATAAAAGTTAGGGCCAGTAATGAAACAAACTGACATCGGGAAACTACTAATCTGATGCAGCGAGACCATTTCTGTGACACTACCCTAAAAAATGCATCAATCAAAAGGACATAAGACAAACCCAAACTGCAAGACATTCTACAAAGAAACTGGCCTATATTTTATTACAGTGATTTTCAACCTGTGTGCCACAAGAATTTTTAAAACATGCAATACCTGACTATTTAGTCAGGGGCACTGACCTCTTTTCCCTCAGATTGTCAAATAAAAAAATGGCAACAGAAAACACAATAGCCATTTGGTGCAAAAGAACCAAAATTAGACCTATTTATTTGTCAGATCGGCAAAAAAAGATATATTTTTGGTGTGCTGCAGAATTTTAGTAATTAGTTTATGTGTGCCATGAGATGAAAAAGGTTGAAAATTTATGCTCTGTGAAAATGTCAGGGTCATGAAAGATAAGGGAAGGCTACAGAGACAACTAAATGCAACAAGAGCTCTTGAATTAGATCCTGGTATTACTGGAACAGGCAAGACTTGAAGAGGGTCTGTAGGTTATATACTGGATCAATGATAATTCCCTGATTTTGATGATTACACTACAGTTATTTAGGAGAATGTCCTTGTTTTTAGGAAATACATATTAAGAGATAAAAGGACATCATCTCTGCAACCTAAATGGCTGAAAACAAAAAAACTAGTAGTTAAGATTTCATCATATTGCCCGGCTGGGCGTGGCTCAGTAGTTGAGCGTGGACCTAGGATCCAGGCGATCGGGGTTCGATTCCCAGTCAGGGCACATGCCCGGTTGTGGGCTTGATCAATGACTCTCTCATCATTGATATTTCTATCTCTCTCCCTTCCTCTCCTTTCCTCTCTCTGAAATCAATAAAGATATATTTTTTTAAAAAATTTTTATCATATTAACCAAATGTCAAAAGTTAGAAAATCTGAAATATAAGCTCTTTGCACTATTTTTGCAACCATTCTATAAATGTGAAATTAATTTTAAATTATTATTTCTAATTTAAAAAGGCAAGTGTAACTCTAAAAGTCTATCACTAAAGGCTTTCTGAGGAATCTGTGGTAGAAGAAGGCCGTGCCGACTGTTAACCAGTGTCAGTTCTACCTGGTACTCTAAGGGGAGGTTTGGTGGGGAGAGGGGAGAGACATTAAAATCTACTGCTTAAATGACAACAAGGAAGAATCAGCAGTATTTCTTTCTGACTACCTCCCTTAAACTTCAGTCACTGGTCTCTCACTAACTTAGGCTCAAGCAACTGTATTCATTTAAAAATATAAATGGGTAGCTCTATTTACTGGTTAAAAAGCTGCCAAATGAATGCTGGGGCAAACGTGAATAACTGTCTGAATTAAGTAACATCAGAGACCGTATGATGCTTTATTTGTGACAATATGAAGAAGGTATTGAGTATTTTATGGTCAAACTGTCTTTATGAGTTACATAAAGACGTTAACGTCATTGTGCGTTACATCAGTGAGAGTATCACTTCGCTGCTTGGTTCTGTAAGACACTGATAAATTCAAACGATAGCGTTTGAAAATAAAGCAGCAAAACAACATTGTTTTGCTGCGTACTAGCTACGGTAGGGGTCTTGTCCTGTAATTATCACCGAGTGCATCCTATGTTCTAGGCTCTGCATGGTGCTGAGGGGACAAAAAGCTACAGCAGGGTCAGTGTTTTCAAGGCATTTACGACAAGGTTGGAAAGATGCACAAACAGAAATCAGACTGAACAGTGCGATGGGTGGAATGGCAACAACATGGAGAATTTCAGAAATCTGGTTATCTGGGTAGAAAATAAAACCAGCTTCCTTTAAAGGAAGCACACCCTGAGATAAATGGCGTTCTTAAATGGAGAACTTCCCAAGTAAAGTATAGAAAATCATTCCAAACAATGAGAACTGGATGGATGGTAAGTGGCCAGGAGTCATGAGATGTTGTAGAAAAGAGCACAGTTAAGCAAGGCCACGTGGAGTTTAAACCCATGCTAAGGAGCTTCATTAAACACTATTTTTTAGGTGAAGAACTACTCAAGGGTTGTATGTGCAGGAGAGACAATTCAACCTTCAGTCCAGGTCAGAGGGCAACGCGCTGGACGACAGACCTGAGAGGCACGCGCGGAGGCTGGGCTAGAGCAGGGGGACCAGAAACAGAGCTTCCCCAACCGTCCAGTCACAGCACCCCGAGTGTCTCAGTAATTTTTTTCACAGCACCCACAGGCCAAAAGAAGGCCCAAAAGACAAGTAGTTCAGGCCAGCAAGTGAATAAAGTACTTGTGTCCTAACACCCTAGGCCTGCGGGGCCCTCCCGGCACAACTCCTCCAACGCTGCAATCGACTGAGCACCATCACCCTTTTCTTCCACAGTGATTTGTGTGATGCTGGCTTTTTATCACAGGAACCACGAATGCAGATCAACAAAGACACAAGGTCACAGAAAGGAATAAAACGATCAGATGCTGAAAATGCGAATTCCCCCAGCTAGCAGTTCCCGGATGTCTGGGACAGATGTTTCCCCTGAAAGCCAAACATCCCACACTGCCCGTGAGTCTGCTGCAACGTCCTGGAGTGCCTCTGCGCCCCTAAATATGGACATGAGCCACACTCAAGGGGGAGATCGGCCTGGCTTGAAAACCGACTGCATGTGGAGAAAGAAATAATTCCAAGTACTATCTGTCTACACACAGTCAAGAATACTGTTTCATTTAGTTTGAGAATTTTATAGAGAATGAATGAAACCTCATACTCACGGATTTCTTGGAGCCAAATGGAACAGAAGAGCATCCTTAAACCACGTCACAAAACTTTTCCAAGTCTCACACTACTGCATGATTCTCAATTTTAAAGTAAATGGTGTTAAGCACAGGCACTGTCCCTCTTTCCCCTTACTGAGTATTTTTAAAACAAAGTAATTGCTATGTATTTTAAATACTGTTATTCAGATGCTGACTCTTCCTGTTATTTTGCTACATGTGAGAATGAGAAAAGCAATGTATTCCACTTTAGGAAAGGTTTTAAAGAAGGGAGGAGAAAAAGTTAAATTCATGGCTAAATTTACGTACATCTATAGAACTACCCAGAATGTTTATATTAATGCTGCATTTATGGGCTGCTCAGTACCACTCACTACTGTGACCGGGGGCAAAGCGGGGCTGCCCTGGGGGCAACACTCATTCAGTGCCATGGAAAAGACTCACCCTTAAAAAACAGAAGGATGCCCATGATGGGAGGGGGGAGTGAGTGATCACTGAAGACAAGTCAATTATTGACACAGAAAGCAATAAATATTCAAAAGGTAAAGTCCCACAATAAATTCTTGTATCCCTCAGGTTCTTAACAGATGTAGATATTTCACTGTGAGCCAAGAGAAAATTAAATTTGAAAATGAGGGGCCCCACTTCCTGAGACGTACCCAAGAACATCTAAGGACACTCACCAAGACACTTGAACGGAACCACCATGTGGCTCTTGCACTCCTTTTTGTCCCTCCGGCACCAGTTGTCCACGCTGGCCGGCTGGTTGGCTTCCATCACGTTGGTGATCTGTAGCTCTGGATACATCTGCACGGGAAAAGCACACACTCAGTAACTGGACTGGTCCGTAAAAGACGGACAATTCCCTCGCAATAAGGGTGAGTGTTCATGCCCACTCGGTGTCTCGTTACCCTGTGCAAACCTAAGTTCCACTGGCTGCCCCTGGCTCCAGATAAACTCTTCAAGGAAAAAGATACTGTAACGACGACTGTTCTGGAGACAGGCGGATTTCTGACTACAAATGCGAAAGGAACCTTTGCTTAAGGATATACAAATGCAGCAAGCGTTCAGCCCAATTAATCCATTAGGCATCAGGGCCTCCTGCAGGGTGTGTGTAAGTAGCTGAGTTCAAGCCTATGGAAATGTGTTAATAAAATTACAGAATAAAGATCTGGCGCTGGCTCTATACACCAGTCTGGGTAAGAAAGTTCAAACATCTTGTATCCTTTCCTAGGTCAAGTTTTGACTCCAAACCAAGTTGAATGACCTGAGCTGATCATCTACAGCAAGTAGAAACCACAAGCACACACAGCACATGCTTTGTTTCACGTCTTCCATAGCAAGGGGGAGCCGCTGGCTGAGCTTCCCGGAGGAAAGTTCACAGCACCCGGATCAACAGCCCCCGAGGAGCCTCAATCCTAAAGGCTTGGAAAACAAAAGGGCCCGCGCGCCAGTCACTAGCAACTTGGTCTTAGGTCAAAAGAGAAAGACAGAATATCCATTTCTAAGGCAAATGGGTTCCAGTTTGACCCAGAAACAAAGCGGTTTTAAGTTTCTGGCAACACTCTTACCTCCTGACAGTACTGAAAGACTTCTTCTTTTGTCCCAAAGCAGCTCTTGGTGCCGGTAGGGTCAGGTTCCCATTCCCCAGTCTGAATGTTCACATGCATATTTAACTTTCCACAAAACATTGCAATCTGAGGCTCGGCGACAGCAAATCCTGTTCCAGTGTTGGCTGCAAGAGCCTGCAAAGGGGGGCGAAAAACAGGTTTACTCCAAAAAGGCTGGCACAAAGGCAGTCAATCAGCTGTTGGTGACAGAACCGACCTTTCAAAAAATCTTCATTGTAACAATTTTTATGTCATAAACAAATCCTTTCCCAGGAGCGAGGCCACAATGAAAAATGACCTTTGGATGTACATGATCAAAGTGAAAGGTAACCCCCACTCCCCAGCTAGATACTTCTGACTTGGGAACCTATAACCTAACTGTGGTCTCTGTTACAAGCAAATCCACTTAATACATCAAACCACAAAAGCATAAAATGTCTAAAGTTCCAATAATTTTACTCAACGCGCACAAAATTTTATTGAGCAGCAGCTATTATGCAAAGCAACCAGCTAAATGCCTAAGACACAAGTGTGAGCAAAAAGCTATGTTCCCCACTCTCACGGTGCTTGGTCTAGTGCAGCAGTCCACACACCAAGAAAGTGCCATCACATGCCAGACACCCTGAGGGGGACAAGAACACGGCACTGAAGCAGCATATAAAACGGGAGCCTGCCTTGGGCCTGCACGAGGCGATCAGGGAGCCCCCTGAAGAGAACGCACTTGGGCAGAGCAGCGCTTGGGGGCATCGTCAGTGGGGGGCAGGTGGAGAGCGGCAGAGAAGGGAGGAGGGGCTCGCAGGGCCAAGACAGGACAGTCTGCAGACCAACAGGACTTTGGTCTTTATCACTGGAATGTGGAGAGGTTTTAGGCAAAGTTAGTATTTTCCAAACGCAGCTCTGATGCTTTCTCTGGTTGAGGGTGAAGAACAGACTGAAAGGAACCGAGAGTGCACGCAGGGGAATGGCTCGGGAAGCTGGAGGTGCACAGTCCAAGAGACGTGGTAGCCTGGCTAAGAGAGGGTGGTGGAGAGTCAAGAGATCCCAGAGAGCAAAACAAGCAAGTCTTGGTGACAGATTGGCTGGGAGATGGGGAGGAGGTCCCGTCCGGCAGTGCTGGTAAGTGATGGCGTCATTCATGGAACCAGAGCACTGAAAGGCACTTCATAAACAATTCCCTCCTAGTAGGTAAGAATAATAAACTATTGCAGAAAGTCTTTCTTTGGCTAGTATTCACATGTTTGTGAAAGGTCATAGCCATTAACAACTCACAAGTTACAGGTGAGAAATAACATCTAGGCGTGATGACAGCAAGGCTCCTGTGCAAAGTCTCTCGCACTAGGAAAAACCACGGGCACCCCAACATCTACAAATATGCCAACACTGGTGGTTGTAGCCACAGTGGAGGTCTGTGGTCCTTCCTAATGGAAAGTTTGTTCAAAATAAAAATGAAATAGCTTTTAAAAAAATGTTACAACTGGAGGGCGGGGTAGGGTTAGATTGTATGGTCTATTATACTGCTGGTTTTTTTAGTGAAGAGGAAAGGAGAGAGATCGATCGATTTCTTGCCCCACTCATTTATGCATTCATTGCTTGATTCCTATATGTGCCCTGACCAGAGACTGAACCTGCAACCTTGGCGTATCAGAGGACACTCTAACCAACTGAGCTACCTGGCCAGGGCTACTACACTGTTCTTTTTAAAAAGAACAATTAACATAAAATGGTTTTCCTGTAAAGGAAAGGGTAGGCCCGGCTGAAGCCTATGGAGAATGTGCGCTTTCTGAGTAATTCTTACTCACCTATACTGATGGGGACACAGACATGAACAGTCCTTCCAATCAGGAGCCTACATTAGATTTTGAAATACATTATGATCTTTTTTCCAGGACAAATTTACCATCCTACACATTCTGCTTTGAAACATTAGCCCGCTTTCTACTAGTACAGGAGAAAGCAGCACACCACCCGCTGGCTAGCGAGGGGAGAAAAGGAATGTGGAAGTGAAACGTTGCCTAGATCAATCTGGGTCGAAAACCACTTATTAAATCCAGAAAGGAGAACAGTTAGCAACTGTATTGACTAGAATTGACTGTAACCCTACTACTGTGATGACAACCATTTATTAAAGTAAAGGGAAGATCCTATGCCTTCAGTATAACTGCATGTGAAGCTACCGATTGGTATTAAGTCCTATCTCCTCCAAAGAAAGAAAAGCGCATTTAAAGATATCTGGGAAAAGGAGCACTAACAGTGTTTAATCAAAAGAAATTATTAAACGGTATAAGGATGCACACGACAAATGTGTTAATTCTCACAACGAGTTCAAGACAGGCACCAAAACGCCTCTTGTGGGGGCCAACCTTCTTTTGGAGCCGTATCTAAGGATCACGGCTAGAAACCTGGATTACGACATGGAGGAAAATGGGCATGTGTAAGTCGGTACACCGAGACAAAGGCAAGAAAACCCAGGCACACTTTAGCGTGTTAAAACCAGTGCTCTCCCCAAATTCTTTCCTCCCTTCTTGAAAAGGCCAGGCGCNCAGGCACACTTTAGCGTGTTAAAACCAGTGCTCTCCCCAAATTCTTTCCTCCCTTCTTGAAAAGGCCAGGCGCAAGTAAATGAAAAAAAAATCCAGGGTGACAGGATAAATATGTAATCAAGAAAGCCAAACTGACAGGTCAAAAAGCTTCATAAACCTGCTATACGTGAACCACCACAGTTAAATCTGAAAGATCCTGAGCAGTATTTCCTAAATTCTGTCTGTGGTCATGTATCTAGCTATCTAGCTATATCTATTATCTATCTATCTATATACATATATACACATATAATGTTTTTATTGATTTTTAGAGAGAGAACAAGGGAGGGAAGGAAACATGGATTGGCTGCCTCCTGCACACACCCCCACTGGGGATCAAGCCTGAAATGCGCACGTATGTCCTGGCCGGGGATGGAACCAGGGACCTCTTGGTGCATGGGACCAACTGAGCCACACTGGCCAGGGCTGGCCTTGTATACTTTTAACATTAAACAAATAGAATTTTGGGTGTGCTGTGTAATCTTTCAAGTGGGAAGTGGCGGGGGGAGGGGGATTTACCTCTTAAATTCCAAAAATGAACACAGGTAGGACACAGGGTCAGTTAGTTGTGAGGTCGCCCAAGCCACAGCTGTGGAGCGCCAAAACTGTGCAGCAGCCCCTCATCGGCACCAAAGGTGATGCTCCAACGTGTTACTCCTTATAACTGTTCGCTAACCGACCGCAGCAGTTCCAACTGCATAAATGTTCAGTGTGCAGGTCAACCACTGAGGTCAGCACAGCAGCGGGAAGTGCATTTGCTCTTTGTGCGGAGATGGTCAGCGTTATCTTCCCTAAAGAGAATCTGAAACACCAGAGGTTAAAGCAACAGGGAGAGGCAGCTAAGCAGCAACGGCTCCTCACATCAGTTACCACCAAGAAAAAGGAGAGTAACTGGAATCATTCCAGACAGCTAATATGCTGTAGTGATTCACTTTTGAGTTCAGAAAGATTAATCCTTGTGGTCATAAGAGACTCTCAAGAAGGTATCATCTGAAATATAAAAAGCCTCTGTGGACCATGTCGAGGAATCAACTAATCAAACATACCTCAACCTTATCTAGAGTATAACAGGATCTTTTCTGTTCTGTTTGTACTTCTTTACTTTGAAAATGCTCTTATTTAATGGGCTCTCCATTTTCTTAAGCGCACACTGTGCCTTGATCCATTACATCAACGTATAAATCAATCTGTTTCCTAATCTAACATGTTACAAATGGGACTTCACTGCCAAGTCAGCAGTTCTGATATCCTGTGAACCTGGAATCCACTCCTGAAAGAAAATTAATGCCCCAGCTCTGGCACTTAAGCCAGTGCTTGTGATCTATGCACGTTGCAGCACTTTGAAGGCTTTGAAAACAAATTACATCAATTGCTTTCCTAGCCCAGTGCTTCCATTTTACTTAATAATTCATTCTTAATAAGAAATTCCATTTCATTAATTTGGATCAGGGAAGAGCTTAGCTATCTAAGGACAGAAATTCAACTTGGTAAAAAGTGCTTCTAGTAAGTTGGTTGAAAACGTGAAATGGTTTAAGGCAATAAATAAATTTAAGTCTGAACCTAACTTATCCCCAGCCCTTTAATCACCACCTCTAGAGTGCAACCCCTGGGCCTACCTAAGCCCTACCTCCTTTCACAAAGCCATTCAGGACCAAGGCAGTGCTCCCAATCCAAGAAAGTAAGCAAGCCCATTACTTCCTCCCTAGTTGAAGCTACTGCCCAGGATCTAATCTGGCTCCCGGGTTTGTGAGAGTGCCTGCTGTGGAGCGAGCTGCAGCTTTCTGAAGATTAAGTGAATCATGTTTCCTTGGATAGGAAGGTGCTGCATTACAGCCTCTCAGGTGTCCAAGCTTCACCCTGGAAGTCAAGCTAGAACAATTCTAGTTCTTATAAATGCTGAACAATACAGCAGTGGTAAGTGCCTCTGGGACATCTACTTACTACCCGCATGCCCGTGATATTGAAAGACACAGCACTGTTTTTAAAAATTAAAGTCAGTAAAATGACAATCTATTAATGGATGCAAAAACCCTCTATACTAATTCATTCCTGTTTGTCTAAAGTGGTAAATGCTACTTCGTGATTTATAAATTAAAATGAGTTAAATCTGTGTCCAGAAACCTGTACTTAAAATTTACTTAATTGAACAAAGTTTAAAAAATCCATAGTTTCAAGGTAGCTCCCCAAGATATTTACTAACTACAAAAAGGGAGACAAATCACTTCACAGTGGAGGCACCAACATTAACCTTACCAGCAATAAGACATTGAAGAACACCAATGAGGAAAGGCTCGGGGAAAAACTGAGCGACTGTTACAGACGGGAAAAGACTAAGGAGAAATGACAAGTAAAAAGTGGGGGCCTGAGCAGGGTCCTGGAGCAGGGAAAGGACAGTAATGGGAAAACCAGAGTAATTATTGGAGTAAGATCTGTAAGTTTGTTAACAGTACTGTACCAGTGTTAATGCCCCAGTTTTGGTACCTGCACTATGGTTATGTCAGATGTTAATACTGAGGTGGGCTAAAGGTATAGGGGAACTCTCTGTAGTAGTTATGCAACTCTTTTTTAAC